TTTTATCTTAGTTTATAAATGCTTTGGTGTTTTAATTTACTAGGACTGCTATGGCAAGATACAACAAACTGGGTGGCTTAAATGTCTAATATTTATTGTGTCACAGTTCTGGGGGATGGAAATTTAAAATTAGTGTGTTGATAAAGTTTGTTCTTTGTGAGGGCTGTAAGGAGAGGACCTGGTCCAGGTCTCTCTCCATGGCTTGTAGATAGTCATTCTCATTTTGATGTGGCATTCTGCCTGTATGTTAGTCTGTCTCCAAAATTTCCTTTTTTTAAAACAATTATTTAAAAGATTTTTTAATTATAATTGATATAAAATATATAATATGATATTAGTTTCCAATCTACAGCATAGTGATTCAACATTTATATACCTTACAAAGTGATCACCACAATAACTCTAGTAACCGTCTGCATATACCTTACAAAGTGATCACCACAATAACTCTAATAACCGTCTGTCATCATACATAGTTATTACAATATTATTGACTATTCCTTGTGCTATACATTACATTCCTGTGATTTATTTTACAACTAGAAGTTTGTACTTCTTAATCTCCTACCCTTTTTATATCCAATTCCCCGACCCCTCCCTTCTGGCAACCATCAGAAATGTGTAGAAGTCGGGGTGATCACTTTGTGAGGTACATAAATGTCTAATCGCTATGTTGCATACCTGAAACTAAGTATAATTTTAAAAAGACCAAAAGGAGAAATATAAAAAAGAAAAAAAACATAAAAATATAATAAAAAATAAATAATTGGAATAAATATTACAAATACTGAAATGGTAATTAAAATAGAGTGAATCTACCAAACTTTCAAGGAACAGCTAATTCTTATATTATACATCTTGCTCCAGAAATTAGAAAAAAAAGAGACATCTGCTCAATTTTTTATTAGCTAGCATTAGTTTGATTTCAAACCAAGCTAAGAACAAGACAAAAAAAATAGACAAATATTTTATAAAATTAGAAGTACAAATTTCAAATAAAATATTAGTTGACTAAATACAACAATGTACTTAATTTTGATTTTACTTTCTTCAATACTTTTACTCAAATTCAAGTGGGTCTATTTCTGGATTGCTTTAATATCAAAAAATCAATCAGCATAGGGCTACCTCCTTAACAGACTTAAAAAGTAAAACCATATAATTATTCAATAAATGTATATAAAACATTTGCAACATTCAATGTCTATCTGAGATAAACCCTCTTAGGAAGTGAAAAGTAGGAGAATACCTCCTTAAATTGCTAATGTTATATGTTAAATTTATACAGCACATTTATGTTCCTTAATAATAAAATTTTATACAGATTCCTTTTAAGATTAAGAACGAGAAAAAGATGCTTTCTTGTTGGTACTGTTTAACTTTGTATAGCACTAGCAGTTGTAACAGGTGACACAAGAAAAGCAAAGAAAATAAAATTTGATTCTGTTGGTATTCCTTTTTATATAATCAAACTGTCTGAAAACGCTGCAGATTTCTTTCATTAGAATCTCTTTACCCTTTTATTGTGATCATGAAACTGAAGGAAACCAGAATATATCATCTCAAAATATGCTTTTTTGACATAAAAATTATTTTGAGCCAAAGGCTATTAAGAAGCAGTAGCTACAGGAAAAACTCACTCTACACTTCTCCCATTTCTGCCTAAAAATAGGATATAAATTCTTCCTTTACTAGAAACGGACTCTTATCAGCCCAGAGACAACACATCTTACTCCATTAGTTTCCTCCTTAATACTTACCTTTCCACAGTTTGCTACCTTTGGAAGCCTAAAACTGCTTTTCTTTGACCGGCCACTTCTCCACGGATTTACTGTTCTTTGCTAAAAGTGCCTGTGTTTTAAGCCGTCTCTTTGAATTCCTTTGTTTCGATTTCTCCCACACTGTTTACCGTTATAAAGTGTGCTCCTCTCTTCAATCTTTTTGTTAAAGAGCTCCAGTTGAAGTAAAGTTTTGCCTCCTCTACAAAATCTAATAACTTTTCTTAGTTTTCATTTACTAGGTTTGCCCTACAGCTCTAAAGAGACCAAAAGTGTATGACATCTTTTTGATTTTACTTTCTTCAAAACCGTTTTTCTGATCTTTAAATGCACACATGTGTGTATGTATACATATATTCTTTCCAGAGTATTTCTACGTATGCTAATAATGTGTTGAGCAAGATTACCTTAATCATTAATAGAATTATTACTGTTTGTTCCTAATGTCCTAACATTTCCGTGAGTACCAAACCCCTCTCCTTTCTAATTCATTCTGCTCACCACAAATTACTGCTTTTATCTTGACATTATTTTGCTCAGACACATTAAACTTCCCCCTGCTGCTTACAGAATAAAGAAAACAATTTATCTTACATTTAAGTTCGTCTGTCATATGACCTTATAACTTTCCTTCCTTCTCTATCTTTAATTTTGTTGATTTATGTATCTGTTATAGCCATTTGCCCAATCATAGCAATTTGATGACCCTTTTACTTTCTTGATTACAATCCCCCATTCATACTATTTTCACCTTTTGAAATAACCTTGCCTTTCTTCCCTCCTTCCACCAAGTCTCAGTTATCTCCCCATCCCCCATGCCCCATCTGAACAGTTTTAACAATTATTGGCACTCATCTTCTTTGCCCTTTGTTAGACCATTGTATCCTCCATTACCTTTTATCTTATTTTAATGTATTTATTTTATTATTTTTTTAACAACCACCTTAATGCTTTGATTTAACTTTCTACTTTTCTCATCACCTCCATCTTGAACATGCGAAGCTAAGCTATAAATAGCTACTGTTGAAACCCATGATGCACCCAAACACAAATAGGCACCAGTGTATATTACAGTTTCTTACCCCTGCCTGCATATTAGAATGACTTGTGGGATATTTCAGAAAAGCCCTGGGTCCCACCCACATTCTGATTTCATAGCTCAGGGGCATAGTAACTCTCATGTGCAGTCATAGTTGAGAAGTGCTAGGTTAGGTGTGCTGCTTACCTGACCAAATTGGTCTATATGCAGTACTTTTTTTTTTTTCAGTTTCAGGTATACTTTAAGATATAGATATTTTTAATGAGAGTTTCTTGACTGATTATTATAGGGGAAGAATAAATAACAAACATACAGTCAGGGTTTCTATGGAAATTTTATTGTAAATGTTTATTTGCAGTTTACAAGTGGAAAATGCTTTCTTTTCCTGATTATTATAATGCTCATTTCTATTTTAGGTAAGTTGCTTAACTCATAAACTTTCGTGAATGAAAAGGGAGCTACATAGGCTTGACAAGCCCCATGACCAAAAGTAACCACACAGGATAGTCTGAACAATCACTTCACTGGGCAAGTCACGGTGGGTAATCACATCCCAGGCATATAATTTGGTTAGTAAAAGGTTTATCTTTACCTTAAGCAAGCCCTGTCTATTGTTCTTGTACATCTAGGATAACATGTCTTTGGAATGTCAGAGTAATTTTTACTTCCAGACTCCTCTAAAACTAATGTTAAATATACTGTATTTTATTATTTATATTTAATTCTCACAAGACTATAGAACAAATATAATTATGAAATTCATTTACAAAGAAATAGAGGCTAGAATGAATAACTTGTTTTTCACAAATAATAAATTCCAGAGCCAGAATTGAGACTCTTGTCTGACTCTAAATCCTGATTTTAACCATCATACAACACTGATTGTATAATTACAATGTATCTGTACTCATTTTTTTGGATCAAGACTAAGTAATATTATTAATAGTTGTTCTATAAAATATTCATTTATTTCTATCACATTATATTGAAAGAAAAAAATAGTAGCATAAGTGATATATTGCAAGATTTTCTCTGTTGAAGTAGATTTGTAAAAATGAAAATGTTAATTATCTTCTGGGTATTAGTTCATTTTGCGAAAAGAATTTTAAGGTAGATTTTAATTCCTGAGCCAGGGCCTAATGGTCTTCAGTCTTGATTTTCCATATGCATACTTTGCTTAATTTAACACTTACATTAAAATAACACTTTATAGCTCTTCTTTCTTGTTTCCTTTATCATTTGCAAGAGTACTGGATATTCTTCTTACAGCTTCTGTTGCTATAGAGTCCTAGATCTCAATGTTATTGATATTTAAACATCTGGAATTTAAATATTTATAGAGAAGAGTTATTATAAGAAATCTTTATATTCACTAATTAATTAATTTTTAAAAGTTTGAAAGCCAATATATTTTTTAATATACATTTGCTGTAGCCCAAATTCCAGTTCTGAGTATTACAAAAAAGAAAAAAAATCATGGCAGAGTGAAGAGAGAAAGCTTTGAAGTTGGCCCTACATTTAAATACTTACTTGGCTCTTTATTAGTTACATTAACTTATTCAAATATCTGGAGAGCAGAGACTTTATCTTATTCTGATTACTCAGGACCTAACTGCAAATGGTAAATTCTCAAAACAATGAACATAGAATGCATTTATTATTATTCCTTTTCCTTTGGCACTGACTGTTGGTTAGATAGAACAAATGTTTCAGTAACTCTTATATTTCAGTGATTCGTTGTCATTTATGATGAGTTTTACTTCCCCAGCTTGGATGTCCTCTCTTGTCTATGACCTTCTCCTTTCTTTCAAGGTAAAGATAAATCTTCGTTTTTTACCCTAGTCCTTGAGGCCTAAATTATATTCAGGTCCTTGTTCTCTTCCCCGATTGCTATATTTAATGCATTGCCTTGGGAGGATGTCAATATAGTCCATGAGAGGCTAGCAGTTCCATTTCTCAAAATAGAAGCCAGAGAAATAAGATAAAGTATAGACTACTCGATAACTAAATGGTTTTCCTTGCAGACAGGGGAATTAAATTCATCTATCATCCCATGAATGAAGCTAATTTTACAGGCCTCAAACCATGGAAGTAAAAAGTAAAGCTGATTCACCAGAATGAGTAGAAATACTTTTTAACTCATCTTTTATTTGATCATTTCTTTCCTTTTTTTTCCATTGCAGTTCTAATCTTTTCAAAATATCCCCTAACTATGGAATGTTCAGGAGAATGGATCAGAATAAAAGAGAAGTGTTTCTATTTTTCTGACGATACCAGAAATTGGACAGCCAGTAAAAACTTTTGCAGTTCACAGGGATCAGAACTTGCTCAAATTGATACAAAAGAGGATATGGTGAGAAAAGGGGAAAGTTTTCAATCATTTCAGAGCTTAAGTTTGTATGAAAAGAAAATAAAAAGGACCAAAGTTAATACTCAATGATAATGTATATCAGACAATGTTTTAAGCACTGTAGTTATAAAACACTTATCTTCAACCAATGTGTATGAAGTAAATATTTAAATATATCTATTTAAAAGGTGAGGAAAGTGAAGCACAGAGATGTTATGTAACCCAGTCATTGTCATACAGCCATAACTTTTGAACTGTGATTTTAACCCAAGCAAGTTAGCTAGCGATGCTATGTCCTTAACCACAATGCATATTGTCCAGATAGCTAAATGTCTTTGTTCAATGTTCTTGGATTATTAAATAGATTGTTTTTAGTGCCTTTACACTTGCATCTTCTCAAGAATGGCCTGGGAAAATGAAAACAATGATATGGCCCTTAGAATTTAGAGATGAGGGTGTGAGGAAAATCTGTACAGTCTGAAGAAAGTGAGACAGTGAATGAAAAACGTAAAAGAGGACATAGAAAGAAGGACTTGGACTTCAGGGGCACAGTGAGATGGAATAAGTTTATTTGAATAGAAAAGCTGACTAATAGATCTGTAGACCAATAATGAGAAGATATTCAGAAGTTAGTTTGATTTCTGATTCTATGAGCAAACATACAACAGGAATGGCATTCTTATCTGGTATGTAGTTAACCACTAAGTTTTACTATTTTAACAGTACTTACACTTTTTATTAAACCCTTTCTCCCTAAAATCCTTCCTCTGTGATGTTTGAGAGTGAACCTGTGCACAAAACAAAATATAAGCATCAGTTTTCTGTCACCTTTAAAGAACATGATATATTAATTCCTATAAAAATTGCTTAGCTCTTGGTTTTGTCATCTATTTGGCAGTTTGTAGTCTTTGTCATTCAGTCCATGACTAAAACGTACTGATAGTTTATGCATTAGAACTAGAAGTCAAATATGTTTTTCTCATCCATTTCCCATTTGAGAGACAGAAGTTAAAGATAATTCAAGACAGAACAGCTCAAAGAATTCAGTGACTTGTTGAAAGTCACTCTACTACTTAGAGATTTTAAGAAGTAAAAGGATAAAGTGAAAATCTTTCACTTTGCTAAAACTAAAGTAAACATCTGTACTGTTTGTTGCTATAGAAGTATTAGAGCATGTCAAATAGGATGGAAATCATAAAAGTTGGTTGCATTGAGAAGCATGTTTAGCAATGTGCCCTAGATAGATAAAAATAGATATAGGTAAATGTAGATAAATATAGAGATATATCTATATCTTTTACGTATTCATGTTTATTTATGTCTATTTTTCCACTTATTGTTCTAAATAAAGTTACAGATTACACTAATAATAATTAAATGCCTACATTCAGTCTTATATTCTTTTAATGTACCAGATATTTTTGTGCAGCACATTGTAATGGGTGAGTATAGATCTCGGTGTTTTATAAAATGTTTTAAATCACTCTATTCTTAATTTCATTTTTGATTACACCAGTAAGTGGTTTCCAAACTAATTTTGGTTGCTCCTTTTCAGGTTTGAAATTAATGGGAATGGATAATTTGCTTTTGGAGATGCTGATGGAGTCTATAGTTCCAGGGGATTTGTTGATATCAAGAGGATTTGCAGGAAACCTAGATTTTAACAAAGCAAGATCTTGCAAAATGATTATTACACTTCAGAGATAAAGTAAAGTAATAAGTAGACAAAAGTTGCTTTTAGCTTCTTATGCTATAGAATACAGAGTTTTAAAAGTACTAGATAAAGGAACTAAAAAAAATTGAACAATTATAGGCAAAATCTCATCAATTCAAGATACATAACCTCTCATTATGAATGTGTCAGGAAACTTCTATTAAATAGGGCCAAACAAAGTAACAATAAACAATTTGATGACCTGGGACTGTAATGAAGGTTATGATAAGCAAATTTAAATGGATCTATATTGACAGGACGGCCAAAACTTACAGCTTAAAAATTAGAAAAATATATGTGCTCTAAATGTGTAAATATTATAAAATACTATCCAGAGCGAGCTCAACTTAAAGAATTTTTACAAGAGAATTACCTATAAACACATTTACTTCAACATTATCCTAAAAACTAGGGAAAACCTACCAGGAGGACTTTAATGTTATAAATAATAGTCACTGATAAATGATCACAATTATATGTTAATATTAGAAAGCTTAGATTGTAGAATATAAACTAGAATAGTAACATCAGAAGTGACCATACAATGTTTTATTGCCGGTTATCTTCTCCCATATAGTAGGTTGTCTTTTTGTTTTGTTGATGGTTTCCCTCACTATGCAAAACCTTTTAGTTTTATGTAGTTCCATTTGTTTATTTATTTATTTTTGTTCTCGTTGCCCAAGGAGACATATCGGAAAAAAAAAAAAGAAAGCTAAAAACAATGCCAAAGTTTACTATGTTTTCCTTTAAAAGTTTTATGGTTTCAGGTCTTACATTTAAGTCTTTAATACATTTGAATTTATTTTTGTTTATACTGTGAGAAAGTGGTCTACTTTCATGTTTTTGCATGTATAATATGTCCAGTTTTCCCAACACTATTTATTTAAAAAGACTGTCATTTCCCCATTGTATATTCTTGCCTCCTTTGTCATAGATTAATTGACCATGTATACATGGATTTATATCTGGGCTCTCTATTCTGTTCCACTGATTTATGTGTCTGTTTTTATGCCACTACCATGTTATTTTGATTACTATGGCCATTTAGTATAGTTTGATATCAAATAGCATGATACCTCTAACTGTTTTTATTTCTTAAGATTGCTGTGGCTATTCAGGGTCTTTTGTGCTTTCATATAAATTTTAAGATTATTTGTTCTGGTTCTTTAAAAAATGTCATTGGTATTTTGATAGGAATTTCATTGACTCTGTACATTGTTTTGGGTAGTATAAACATTTTAAAGATGTTAATTTTTCCTACACATGAGCATAATATAACCTTCCATTTATTGGTTTCTCCTTCAATTTCTTTCTTCAAGGTCTTATAGTTTTCCAGGCATAGGTCTTTTACCTCCTTAGTTAAATTTAGTCCTAGGTATTTTACCCTTTTTGATAAAATTCCAAATGTGACTATTTTCTTAATTTCTCTTTCCAATAGTTTGTTATTGGTGTATAAAAATGCAATCAATTTCTGAATATCAATTTTGTATCCTGCTACCATACTGAATTCAGTTATTAGTTCTGACAGTTTTTTGATAACTCTTTAGGGTTTTCTATATATAGTATCGTGTCATCTGCAAATAATGATGGTTTTACTTCTTCCTCTCCAATTTAGATGCCTTTTATGTCTTTTTTTTTTTTGTCTGATTGCTATGGCAAGGACTTCCTATACCATGCTAAATAAAAGTGGTGAAAGTGAAGATTCTTGTCTTATTCATCTGATAAGAAGTTAATATCCAAAATATAAAGAACTTATATGAGTTAACACCAAAAAAAAAAAACCCCAAACAATCTGATTTTAAAATGGTAAGAGGATCTGAATCGACATTTCTCTAAATGACAAATAGACATATGAAAAGATGCTCAACATCACTAATCATGAGGGAAATGCAAATTGAAACCAATGAGACATCACCTCACACCTGTCAGAATGGCTATCTATCATCAAGTCAAAAAACAATAAGTGTTGGTGAGGACATGGGAAAAAGGAAATCCTCATGCACAGTTGATAGGATTGCAAATGGAAAACAACATAGAGGTGTCTGAAAAAATTAAAAATAAAAATACCGTATGGGAGTGACATCAGAAATATAGCAGCGTGAGAGACATCCCTGGATCTCTCCCTTTGCAACAACAATAAGCTGAACATTTAAAACTTAACAAAAAACACCCAAACTGTACACCAGCATGTCTGAACATGGGATCTGCGCAGAAGAGCTACCACAGGTAGGAACCCCGGATGTCAGGAGGTGGACTGGGAGAAACAAAGAAAATGCCTCTCTCAGCCACCAGAGCTCCCTGTAGGAGGAGAGGGAGGGGAGAAAGTGCGGTGACATTCTTGAACAGCCCTGCCTAGGAGTGCTGTGAGCTCTCATGGCCAGTGGCAATGCCCAGTCATCGGGGCAGAGGGTAGAGAAACAAGACGGCAGAAAGATGGAGACAGCAGAGAAACAACAGTAGATTTTTACCAGCCGTGGTTGCAAAACTGAGGCTGAGCCGCAGTTCCCATTCCCCAACCCAGAGGGCCCCTCGCCCCATACCCTCCAAGACCAATACCGCAAAGCCCCTGGGGAATCTGAGCAAACGCTGCCTAGACTGTCACTGGCGCTGACAGGGACTGAAACTGAGGGTAGCAGCATGATTAAACATCTATAAGGAAAAAAAGACTTTATTAAGATTTTATAGAAAGCAGAAATTGAAGAGTCTTAGGCGCCACCTACTGGAAACCAAAAGAAAAACACCTTTTTTGCAACAGGCTCGGGACCATTATATAATAAATCTTTCTGGAAAAAAAAAATCAGAATACACTTCCATTAATGCCCAGACAGAGAAATAGCCCATTAAGCATCATGAACAACCAAGGTGATAAGGCATCTCAGAAAGAAAGAGAAAAATATCCAGAAAAAAAGCTTACAGACATAGAAATATGCAACTGAAATGACAGAGAATTCAGAATGGTAATTCTGAAAAAATTCCGTGAGATTGAAAACAAAACATATCAACAATTTCAGGAATTGAAAAAACAACTAGATGAGCCGAATGAGTTCTTTAGCAAGGAGAATGAAACCCTCAAAAAGAGCCGAATAGAACTTCTGGAGATAAAGAACATACTGCAAGAGTTGAAAAATGAAATAACAAGTTGGGAAATAGAGTCGATCAAATAGAGGAAAGGATCAGTGATATTGAAGACAGAAATCTAGAAATAAATCAGAAGGAAAAAGAGAGAAACTGAAGAATGAAAAATAATGAAAGAGAAATTCAAGAACTAGCTAATACCATCAGGAGAGGGAACATAAGAATAATGGGCATTATCAAAGGTGAGGAAAAGGAGCAAGGATTAGAAGGCATTTTCAGCCAAATAGTTGATGAGAATTTCCCAAATCTAAGGAATGAGTTGGAGCTTGGAATTCAAGAAATCAACAGAACATCCAATTGTCTCAACCCAAAAAGGCCTTCACCAAGACACACTGTATTAAAATTATCAAAAATCAATGACAAAGACAGAATTCTCAGGGCAGCCAAGGAGAAGAAAATAGTAACTTATAAAGGAAAACCCATTAGATTATCATCGGACTTCTCAGCACAAACCTTACAAGCCAGAAAGGAATAGAATCAGATATTCAAAGTATTAAGTGAAAGGAACTACCAGCCTAAAATAATGTCTCCAGCTAAGCTCTTCTTTACATATGAAAAAGAAATTAAGACCTTTCCAGGCATACAAAAACTGAGGGAATTCTTTGCTGCTGAGGCCTGCACTACAGGAAATACTAAGAGGGTCAGCTCACCCAAAAGAAAATGACAAAAAAAAAAAAAAAAAAAGAAAAAAAAAGGCAGAACTAACTTGAAATAGCATCCACTACCAAAGACAGGATTTAATGTCAATAAGAAAAATGACTGCAATGGATTGTTGAGTTTATAATAATTAGAGAAAAACAACAATACCAACTCCTCATAGCCTACCTTTGGAGGATGATAGAAACCAAATTAATGTTTTGAAAACTGGTAAATAAAGGGGAAGAATCACATTTTATCCCTTCCTTTCCTACATAAATCGAACTCAGGTAAATCAAAAACTCAAAAAAGTAAAGTTGCTCTTTTAATATCAGGAAGTCTTGCTAATAAATGAAAAGAGAAAGACCATCTGGTAAAGCTTAATCTTATCAGTGTTAGAGGATGTAATGATTAGTAATAGATGTATAGTGAAGTCAATTATTTTAATGTTTAATTTATATTTTTCTATGAGTGTTTCTATCACTTTCTAATGGGAAATTTGGCAGATATTTGTTTTTCAAAATAAATCATATGCCAAGTATCTTAAGTAGGCTAATTAACCAGCAAATAGTGCAGAAGATTTAGTCGAACATCAGCTGGGAAGGGCAAAATTATCTCAAAGAGAAGGTAAAACCCTAAAAGAGTACTTGTAAGTGGAAGAGACACTGTTTGATGCTTGAGAAGGAAGGCGTGCAGCTCTCGGGCCTTTCCTCCTTTTTTACTCCTACTTTTCATGATATCTCAGAAAATGAAGAACAAAGAGCATAGAGGAGACAGAGCAAAGCCATACTGAAGAGCAATTCAATTTTGACTTCTCAGAGATCATTTTTGAAGGAGGCTCTCCTACGGGAAGAACAGTAAGGGGTAACTGAGTCAGATGACAACACTGAGGCTCCGGGAACTTCTGAGCTCAAGTTTAAGGAAGACGAACCTAAGAGAACAGCTGCTTATGTTT